CGACGGAGGCGGCTCGACGGTGGCGGCTCGACCGCGGCGGCGGCTCGACAGCGGCAGCGGCGGCGGCTCGACGGCGGCTGTTGCGGCAGCGGCAGGGCCGGGGCGGCAGCGGCGGTGGCGACGGCGGCAGCGGTGGCCGGCAGTGGCGGCGGCTGCAGTTGGCAGCGGCGGCGGCTGCACGGCAGAAGTGGCCGCTGCTGCTGCTGGGGCCGGGAAGGGGCCGGGAGGGGCCGCGAAGGGCGGCAACAGGGCCGCTAAGGGGCCACGAGGGGCCGAGTGGGGCCGCGGACGACCGCGAAGGGCGGCGACGGGGCCGCAGCGGGCGGCGACGGGGCCGCAACGGGCGGCGTCAGGGCCGCGAAGGGGCCTCGAGGGGCCGTAAGGGGCGGCGACGGGGCCGCTGCGGGCGGCGACGGGGCCGCTGAGGGCGGCGACGGGGCCGTTGTGGACGGCGACGGGGCCGTGAGGGGCGGCGACGGGGCCGCTGCGGGCGGCGACGGGGCCGCTGAGGGCGGCAAGAGGGCCGCAATGGGCGGCGACGGGGCCGCGAGGGGCGGCGACGGGGCCGCTGCGGGCGGCGACGGGGCCGCTGCGGGCGGCTACGGGGCCGCTGAGGGCGGCGACGGGGCCGCAAGGGCGGCAAGAGGGCCGTAAAGGGCGGCGACTGGGGCCGCTAGGGGCAGCGACGGGGCCGCTAAGGGGACGCGAGGGGCCGTGAGAGGAGCCTCTAAGAGGGCGCGACGCGACGGGAGGGCGGCCCACGGGGCGCGCCTCGGGCAGGGGCGACTCGCGCTCCGGGCAGAAAAAAAAAAAAAATCGAATTTTAGTGGTGGGCCCTAGGAAGCGTTCCCACTAGGGAACCTGCTCTGATAACATGTGAAAATTAGAACGAGAATGATTGACTAAGGAATGAGTGTGATACAAATATGAAACCCTAGAATTGTGTACCCCTTAGTATCTAACCCGCTACAGCCTACACAGGCTAGATCATATAAGTCTGACAATAACCTAGTGTTATTGAAGTAGAAGGCCTAACAAACATGGACTGGCAAGAATATGGTACTAACTGCATCTCTACAAACATAAGTAATGCGCTGGTCACTTTGGTCGGTATGCGCGCCTGTAGAGCAGGTACCATGTACGACTGGAATGTCTATATCTGCCAAATCACATAGATCCAATAGGTTAAAACCTGGTAAGAGGGTGGGAAATGGTATAATTTAAAGGAAATGGGAATACATATGGTATTCACTGTATTTGTACAGAGAGAACCTAACAGAGCAATCTCAGCCTGGTTCGTGCGCGCAGAAAAGTCCGGCGCCCACGTTGACGGCACTGTCTGCCGACAAATGCTAAAAAAGCGCGTGGATCCCTATAGGTGCAGGGAAAAGCATCAAATGACATGAATGTTATTGCATATATGGGTGGCCGATGATCATATACGAATACCGGAGCAATTTCAGCCTGGTTCGTGCGCACAGAAAAGATCGGCACCCGCGATGACGATAGTTTCTGCCGACAATTGCAAAGGAAGCGCATGGATCCCTAAAGGCGTAGGGAAAAGCATCAAACGACCTGAACGTTATTGCACATTTGGGTGGCTCATGTTCAAGTACACCTACCAGAGCAATTTCAGCTTGGTTCGTGCGCACAGAAAAGTTCGACGCCTGCGATGACGGCTGTGTATGCCGACATATTCTAAGGAAGCGTTAGGCATAGGGAACAGCATCAAACGACCTGAGTGTTATTGCATATTCGGGTGGCACATGTTCAAATACACCTACCAGAGCAATTTCAGGTTTTTTTGTGCGCACTGAAAAGTTCGGCGCCAGCGATGACAGTTGTTTGTGCCGACAAATGCTAAGGAAGCGCATGGATCCCTATAGGCGCATGGAAAAGCATCGAACAACCTGAATGTTATTGCATTTTTGGGTGGCCCATGTTCAAATACACCTACTAGAGCAATTTCAGCTTGGTTCGTGTGCACAAAAAAGTTCGGCGCCAACGATGATGGGAGTTTCAGCCGACAAATGCTAAGGAAGTGCGTGGATCCCTATAGGCGTAAGGAAAATCATCGAACGACCTGAATATTATTGCATATTCTGGTGGCCCATGTTCAAATACAACTACCGCAACAATTTCTGCTTGGTTCGTGCGCACAGAAAAGTTCGGTGCCCGCGATGACGGTAGTTTCGCCGACAAATGCTAAGGATGACCATAGATCTCTACATGTGTACGGAAAGCATCGAACGACCTGAATGCTATTGCATCTTTGGGTCGCACATGTTCAAATACACCTACCAGAGCAATTTCAGCTTCGTTCGTGTGCACAAAAATGTTCGGCGCCTGCGATGACGGCAGTGTCTGCCGACAAATGCTAAGGAAACGCATGGATCCCTTCATGCGTAGGGAAAAGCATCGAACGACCTGAATGTTATTGCATATTTGGGTGGCAAATGTTCAAATACATATACCAGAGCAAATTTCAGCCTCGTTCGTGCGCACAAAAAAAGTTCGGCGCCAGCGATGACGGTTGTTTCTGCCGACAAATGCTGAGAAAGCGCGTGGATCCCTATAGGAGGGAACTGCATCGAATGACCTGAATGTTATTGCATATTCGGGTGGCATATGTTCAAATACATCTACTGAAGCAACTTCAGCCAGGTTCGTGAGCACAGAAAAGTTCGGCGTCCGCGATGACGACAGTGTCTGCCGACAAATGCTCAGAAAGCGCATGAATCTCTATAGGTGTAGGGAAAAGCATCAAACGACCTGAATATTGTTGCATATTTGGGTGGCCCATGTTCAAATACAACTACGAGAGCAATTTCAGCCTGGTTCGTGCGCACATAAAAGTTCGGCGCCCGCGATGACGGCAGTTTCTGCCGACAATTGCTAACGAAGCGCGTGGATCCCTACAGGGGTAGAGAAAAGCATCGAACGACCTGAATGTTATTGCATATTTGGATACACCTACCGGAGCAATTTTAGCTTGGTTCGTGCGTACAGAAAAGTTCGGCGCTCGCGATGACGGCTGTTTCTGCCGTCAAATGCTAAAGAAGTGCATGGATCCCTATAGGCGTAGGGAAAGGCATCGAACGACCTGAATGTTATTGGATACCCTGGTGGCACATGCTCAAATACACCCAGAGCAATTTCAACTTGGTTCGTGCGCACATAAAAGTTCGGCGCCAACGATGACGGCTGTTTCTGCCTACAAATTCGAAGGAAGCGCATGGATCCCTATAGGTGTAGGGAAATCATCGAACCTGCATGTTTTTTCATATTCAGGTGGCCCATGTTCAAATAAACCTACCGGAGAAATTTCAGCTTGGTTCGTGCGCACAGAAAAGTTCGGCGCCAGCGATGACGGTTGTTTCTGCCGGCAAATGCTAAGGAAGCGCATCAATCCCTATAGGCGTAGGGAAAGGCATCGAACGACCTGAATGTTGATGCGATCAAAAGTTGGTCGTAACGAGGATCACCTCGGGAATGTTCGCATAGAGTGTGTGGTAGTGGTGGGCCCTTGATCTCAAATCAGAGTGAATGTAAAATGATTGAGATGATAAAAACATGCAAATACAAAGGTATAAAAAAGAGTATAGGGTACATTCCCTTATTTAAGAATAACTAGACTAGCCATGTACTCTATGGGTACCTTCCCTTATTGCAGCGAAACCCAATCGTGAGACTCCAAACGGTTACGAACTGCTCGGGCATAATCCCCCTCACTGCTGCTGCCTCAAACTGTCTGCCTTGATGGTCCAGATGCTTCGTAACCATACGCGACTCTTCGCGTCATCCCACCTCTTTGCCTTCAGACTCGATATTGCGTGCTTCGCTTCCAGCGGTTAGGAATGCACAGTGTCTTTCTCAATTTACTATTCGTAACAAATCTTATTGCATATTCTGGTGTCCTATGTTCAAATACACCTACCGGAGCAATTTCGGCTTGGTTCGTGCGCACAGAAAAGTTCGGTGCCAGCGATGACGGTTGTTTCTGCCAACAAATGTTAAGGAAGCGCATGGATCTATAGGCGTAGGGAAAAGCATCGAACGACCTGAATGTTATTGCATATTCGGGTGACCCATGTTCAATTACACCTACCGGAGCAATTTCAGCCTGATTCGTGCGCACTGAAAAGTTCGGCGCCCCGCGATGACGCCAGTATCTGCCGACAAATGCTAAGGAAGTGCATGAATCCATGGATCCATTATCCATCCCAATTTCCTTAGGGCGGGTCCAACTTTGCACACTCCCAATTTTTTCGTTATTTTTACGTCAACACACTTGTCAAATTTGACTGTACCCCTGGGCGTAGTCCTAACGTTTCCTGTCCAGTTCGGAGTGTACAGTGCGGACTTTTGACGAGGTACATTAACGATGCGAGGCACAGCACCTGGGAAGGGAATTACCAAATGTTGCGAGGGTTTCCGGATCTAGGGCGACAGGAATTATATCATGGCGAAAGAGTTTTGGCGAAAAACGGGCGTTACTGTCTGACGACTTTGACGGGAAGCGATTTGGGAGACGAACCTTCGGATGTGTTCCGCACGTCCCGGGGCACGTTTCCGAAATGAACTCATCTAAGTACAGTCTCGCGTCAAACTGATTTTGTACATTACCGTAAAAGTTCTGTTACATGCTTAATTTTGGTAACTGAGCTGAAAATTTCCCGTACATGTGCAAAGTTAGACCCGCCCTTACCATTCATTTGCTCATGCGAATCCAGCATCCATCCCTTAACCTGCAAGTGGCATGCCATTCCAGATATCCCAACTCAATCTCTTTACATAGATTCCAACTCAAATCACATTCACCAGACGCTAAGATTTCATACAATGGCCATTCATTGGCATAGACACTACTAAGGACATAAACACCACCACTGCCAAGCACCACCACTCCGCCATCGCCTTCGATTTCCAGCCCTCCACCTCCTCCTGCCCCACCACAAACGTCGCTTTCGCATCCCTTCCCCATCCTGCCCATCCGCTAGTCACGACTGCACGGCCAGGCGTTGCAGGTGCTCCATGAACACCTGGAGAGACACGTCATCCGTGAGAATGACCTCTCCTCCTGGCACCGTTGACGCGCTGTTGTATGTCGCTGACGGGTTCAGCTTCGCCAGCAGGAACCGGGCCTGCAATGCACATGCACATGGGTTGTGTAGAGAATAGTTTAGAATCAAATAAAAGTTCGAGCATAGTCCCAGCACGGCATTTTTCCAGGAATGGCAACGATATGCGGGGCCTGCCACACGTACACACCACCCCCCATCGCCCACCCCCCCGTCGCCCATCCTCCCATGGCCCATCGGCCATCGTGACTCCCTCTGTGCCGTCACCTGGCTGCCGTTCTGGTCGCAGTCCACGAGGCGTGGCGTGGGGAAGCGCTCCGCCATGATGGCCGCTGCATCGCTCTGCGGGGCTGCCAGTAGCTGCGCGAATGCCTGGTGGGGCAGAGGCCGGCAGGACAGACAAGGCACGCAGGCAGGGGAAGAGGACACGCAGCAGGGGAGGCGGTGATGCAAAGGTGGAGGCAGGGTGCCGTGCCAGAACACCACGAGAGTGGATAAATGGCACCGGCTTGTACAGTCACACATTGCAGAAATGGGCGCGTGGGTGACCAGATGGTTGGTCACAGCCGGTTGCGGGTGGCCTCTCACCTGGTGCTCGGGTTGGTTGTGGTAGCCAGCGTTGCGCCACTGGGCGATGGTGGAGCCGTGGAAGATGACCACTGAGAAGAAGGCGTCCAGCAGCAGGATGCGGTCCACTGCGATCGCCGCCACGTCTAGTAGCGCTGGCTCCGGTGGCGCGTTGAACGAGTAGGACGTTAGCGTGGGCTGGCGGGTAATGGGAGTGCGCGCGGGAGGGGGGTGGGTTGGGTTGGGGGGAGTAGTAAGAGAAGGTGGTGCGTCGAGAGGACAAGGATGATGGCAATGCGTGTTGAAGGAGTGGGAGGCAGTAGTGCGCGGAAGGGAAGTCATACTGAGAAACATTTAAGGTGGGTTGGAGGAAACGATACAAGGGAAAGGGAATCTCCATGCGCGCACCTGGATCATGACGAGGCAGTTGAGGACGTTTTCCCGGTTGAGCGCCATTCTAAAGTAGGCCGTCTCGTCGGGACTGCTGCCAAACACCTGCTCACATGCGCAGCATGAGGGATGTGCGAGTGGGAGGGCAGAGACGTGAGCGCAGGGGAGAAAAGCGTGCATATTCTCGGGGCAAAAAATGGGTTCTGGGGCATGGGGCACGGGCATGGGGGCGAATGGCATGGGCATGGGCGAACGGCTTGGAGCATGTGCCACAGACACCTCCCCCCCCCCCACACACACACCCTCTCTCATTCCCTCACGCTCTCTCTCCATCTCACTCACTCCCCCTCACTCTGACCTGCACGAACTGGGAGCGGCGTAGGTTGAAGAGGAGCTGGGGGAAGATGGAGAAGTTGGTGTCCTTGTCCTTACCGCACCTACCCACAGACTTGATGCAGCTGCGGCCTGCGCGGCCCACCTGCCCACCTACCACAAGCAAGCCACCTGTACAAACGGCGAGGACCTGCACCCCACGCACCTGCACGAACTGGGAGCGGCGCAGGTTGAAGAGGAACTGCGGGAAGATGGAGAAGTTGGGCGAGAGGGAGAAGGAGGCAGGGTCGTCCTTGCGGTAGTCGCCAAACTTGTTGCACACGCGGATGAGCATGCGGTCCAGCCACCGCGTGGCGTCAAACTCCTCCTCCACCTCCATCTTGTGGCTCATCACCCGCGCCACCACCACTGCTGCCGCCTCTTGATCGTACCCCGCCACCAGCTCCTGCACGCACAGGGATGGCAGGGGAAAGGATAGGCGGAAGAGACACCGTGGCCGTGAGAGACACATGATGCGAGGCGAGGTGCGCAATGAACGGGACAGGGCTGTGGAGGTGGGGGGGGGAAGGGGCACGAATAGCGGTGGAGTTGGAGCCATCGACCCAACTTCAGAGGCGACCATGTTGGTAGTGCGTTGCGAGTCAGAAAGGTTTTGGGGAGGGAGGGAGGTTGTTGGGGGCATGCTGATATGGGGGCACGTACAGCGGTGGAGATGGAGCCGTCGACCCAACTTCTGGTGATTGTGGTGCAGCGCAGCCTCGTCTCACCTGACGGGTGCTGGTAGCTGATGGTGGGGCGCGGGAGAGAAGGTGGAGGGGCGCAAGGAGTGGGAGGCGAGGGAGGAGAGGAAGGAGAAGCAGAATCGATAAGACAAGAAACCAGCAGGCAGTGGCGGCTTTGAAAACGTTTAACCGTAAAGATGGACAACATGCTTGGACCCTGCACGTTTAGACCGTACACAAGACCGTACACACCCAACCATGACAAAACACCAATCTTGGCACGACGACCCACCCACACCGCACACCACCCACCATCCCATCCCACTTCACCCCACCCCACCCAACCTCATCCCACCCCACCGCACGGCACCTGGTGGTGAACTGCAGGTGGAACTGCTGTGAAGCAGCGGTGGCGGCAGCGGAGGGGGCGCCGGAGGGCTGTTGGGCGGTGGCGATGTCAAAGAGCAGAGCGACGGTGGTGAGGGCGTCTAGCCCACAGAGCTTCCACTGCGTCGTGTGACCCTGGCAGATGGGCGTGTCACTCGTTGACGGGCCTTTCTGCGAGTGCAGGGAGTGTGGGAATGTGATGGGAGATTGGAGGGGGACGGGGGAAGAATGCAGGGGCAGGAGGAGATGTTGTGGGAGCAGAGAGAGGGTTGAGTCAGCAGCGTCCAGCCCACAGAGCTTCCACTGCATCGTGTGGCCCTGGCAGATGGCCGTTTCACTCGGAAGGGCCCTTCTGCAAGAGGAAGTGAGGGGGTGTGAGGGGGAGAGTGGGGGAGAGTGGGGAGAGTGTGGGCAGATGGGGAGAATGGGGGGGAGAGTGGGGGGGAGTGGGCGGGAAAGTGGGGGGGAAAGGGAGGGAGGGCCGGGGGAGGGTGTGGGAAGAGTGGGCTGCGAGTGCAAGGAGAGTGGCGACTTAGCAAAAGCTTATTAAGAAGGCAAAGATATATAGCAATCAACTTGCAGGGCGAAGATGGGTGGGTGAGGAGGAGCATGGGAAGCAGAAGCAGCTTTGCTTGCTGACCTTTTCTAGTGAGGCACAGGGGCCGATGGCCCCTTGCACCTTGATGTCCTTGGAGCAGTGCAGCTCCAACGTGCCACTGCACTCACAGCACAGCGCGCACGGGGAGGACATGATGGAGGGGGAGGGGTTGGGGATGGGTGAAGTGGGGGTTGGTTTGGGGTTGGGTTTGGAAGAAGGAAGCGAGGAGGAGAATGGAAGAGATGCTGATCTCCAAACGCTGTGGATGTTTCCATAAGATGGTATGGAATGGTATGGAGTGGCACGGAGTGCTATGGCATGCCATAGAATGGTATGAATGGTATTATCAACGGACGGGGCATGGCAGGCATGGCAGGCAGAGGCAGGAACTTGATGGAACGGGCAAGCAAGAACAAACAGGTACGGACAGGGGAGAGCAGCTTGGCAGGACAGGGGAGGAAGGAAGGACAAGAAGGCCCAAAAACGCGAGAAGGGATGGGAAAGGAGGAGGAGAGGAGCGAAGAGAAAGGAGGAGAGGAGGAGGAGGGAAGGAGAGGGGAGAGGGGAGGATAGAGAGAGGGGGAGAGCGGAAGAGCGGGTAAGGAGCGGAGGAGAGGAGAGGGGGAGGGTGTGTGCGTGAACAGACTTGAAGGAGAGGCCGAGGCTGGAGTCCCCTTGCTGGAAGACCCTCTTGAGCGAGTCCTTGAACACCGCGTGCCCATAGCTCTCCGATAACGCCACCAGCCCACCCGTCCTCTCCACCGCCACCTTCATCTCCGCTATGCCCACCTGGGATGGGGATTGGCAGAAAGGGGCGAGGGAGGTGGAGGCCGAGAGAGGGAGAGAAAGAGAAGGGCGTGTGCAGGTGGGAGGTGTGCGGGAGGGTGAGGTTAAAGTGACAGTGGTGAGAGAGCACAGCAAACTTGCCTTTCTTGATGCAAAAACAAAAGGAAGGGGCATAGCACGAGGAGAAGCAGGGGCGGCTCACCGTGACAGCACACGCCATCTGTCAGCCACCACGCACGCACCTGGTCGAACACGTAGCCCTGTGCCACAAGCTGCTTGCAGTGAAATGATTGCCTCACATTAGAGGCACATCAAAAACAGCACACGCCAACCATCCATTCATCAGCACCCACCTGGTCGAGCGCGGAGGCGAAGAGGTCGAGCACGTGGCCCTGCGCCACGAGCTGCTTGGCGAGCCCCTCGTAGAACTTGACGGCCTTGCTGTAGTGCGGCGCTGCATCCTTGTCCAGGTCCTTGTGCGACCGGATGGGCTCTGATAGCTCCCGACTCACTATCTGGACTTGCGGTTGGAGGTGGAAGGGGGATGGGGAAAAAGAGGGGGGGGGAAGGGGGTGGAAGGGATGGGGGAAGGCAAGGGGAAGGCGGGGAAAGGGAGGGGCAAGGGACGGGGGAAACGAGGGGGAAGGGGTGGAAGGTACTTTTGAGAATTCTCAACAGAACCTGGCTCACTACCGTGTGGGGGGGGGAGAGGGGAGAGGTGGGGGTGGAGCGGAAGGTGAGGTGGGCACGGGAGAAGGAAAAATGCCTAATTGTTGGAAACAAGTGACAAGGAACAACGCAAAGGGCAACAGAGGAGAGCAGAGTCGAGCAGCAGAGTAAAGCAGAGCAGAGCAGAGTAGGGCAAGGAGTAGCAGCACTGACCACGCCGGGTCCTTCAGTGCACGGCCCGCCGACGAAGCTGAGTATGCGCGCGCCCGTGCCCGGCACACACGCCCCCAGCAGCCCCACGGCCACTGTGAGCGCCGTGCCCGTGCAGCGCGCTGGGCGCTTGTCCGCCGCCACTGGGAACGCATCCCTGCTCAACTCGTCCAACACCTGGGAGGGAGAAAGAGGAGGGCGCAGCAGAAGTTTGGGGGCGCAGATGGGGGCAGGGAAGTGGGACGCAGTTGGGGAAAGAGGGGCGGAGTTGACTGTGAGATATGGGGCAAGGGGGCGGATGCGGGGACCTGTTTGCGGGATGGGGAATGCTTGGCAGCCGAACTAGTTAAGCGGCTCAGATAATATTTCAGCACAGGCACTAACTTGGCATGGCATTGGGTGGGAGGGAGCAAATGAGGGGGAGCAATGCGTCAGCACAGTCGCGGAAGAGGAGAAAGCAGGGTGCTTTTGGCGGTAAGCTGAAGTGAGAAAAAGGGACTTTACTGAGGGGATGCAAGGGAGGGTGAGACTGAGTGGAAGTGGGTGGGCTTGGAAGGTGAAATTTTGAGTCAACATAAGTCAGTCAATAACCGATGAGCAGTAGGTTAGGTGCTGACAGAACCAACTCACGGTGGAGAGAGTGAATTCACACTCCTGAGCCGGCAGCAAGAACCGAGCCACGCTCCCCGGCGACACCGCCCCATGCCCCGGCCCTCCCGCCACTCCGCCCTTCCCCCCGGGCCCTGCAGCGCCCATGGGCGGCCCTGCGAGCCCCAGCTGGTCCACGACCTGCTGCTGCGAGGCCTCCTTGCCGCCCCTGAACACGAACATCTTGGGGCAGTCGCTGAACCCCAGCTCGTGCACGTACACCAGTGACCCGTACGTTATCAAACCTACAAGCGCGTTCTCCGGGAGAAGCCCTATGGCCTGCGGGCAGGGGCACGGCCGGGCGCGGGAAGAGGGTGGGCGGGAAGAGAGGGGCGGGGTGGGTTGCGGAGGGTGGCGGGTGGAAAAAGGTGGTCATAAGGGTTGAGTAAGAGAGATACGGGAGGGACAGGCAGGCGAACAACAGGGGGGAAATGGGAGAAGAGAGGGGGGAACCAAAACCAGCTTCCCTCCTGCTTACCCACTCTCCCATCATCTCCTCAAACCCCCCCTTTCTATTTACTTTCCCCTCCCCCCTCTCTCCCCATTCCCGCGTTCGCCCTTGCTCCTCCCACCGACTCCTCAACCCGTCCCCGCCCACCCCACCAACCCCTTCTGGCGCCGGTCACCTGCGAGACGGCGGTTTTGAGGTACCCCAGCTCCTCCTCGATGAGACACGTGTCGAGCACGAATAGGAAGACGGGCGGCGACGCGGGCGCGGAGAGCGGCAGCGAGTACTCGATGGTGGTGTACTGCGGGAACAGCTCCGCGGGCAGGTTCGACTCCGATATCGCCGCGTAGTGCGGCGGAAATTGGTTGCGCTGGGCGGGCGGAGGTTGGGGGTGGGTTGCGGGTAGGGAGAGGGGGAGTGGGTGAGGGGAGGGAAGGGGGGAGAAGAGAAGCGATGGGGTTTGAGACGGCAATGTGGGGCAGCGAGGAGGGCGAGTGGATGGAGGACCGAGAAAAGGGATGTTGGAGTCAGTAAAAGCTAATCGACTTGGGTCGGTCTGTGCCACGATGCGACCTTTATCTCGCATGCAGTCGCACGGACCCGGCTTGACGCCACATTATTCAAACATTTCAATCAACTCGAGGAGAAATCAAGAGGAGGATTACAGTAGAACGTTCCCCCTGATGCTATCACTAATTCACCGCTACTGACCTGGTAGCAGAAAGGGCAGACCCACATCTTGCCAATGAAATCCACTCGCGCGAACGGGTTGAGCACGGCGAGGCACGTCTTGCAGCGGATGGGCTCGTACGGCAGCACGGGCATCTCGGGCAGGCGCTTAACTGGCGTGTAGAGCGCGGCGAACGGCACCACACACTTGGTCGCCTCCACCTTGCTGTTGGGCCACACGTTCCACGTCAGCCGCACGCCGTCCACCGCCTCGAGATCCGCAAAATCCGGCGCTGCCATGACGGGCTGATGTGGTCGTTGCTGCTGCTAGGGCTGCTGCGCGTGCTGTGACGGTTTTAACGCGGTTCTGTTATGGATCGCGAAAATTTCGAGTGTTTGGTTGTTTCGAGTGTTTCGAGTAGGGTGGTCGGTGACACGCCAGCGTCCAATCGTTTTGCGGAATAATTCGTGCAAAAGACCGACGTATTTAAGATTAACGCGCTGTGCACTGTAGACGATCTGGAAGACGACGCACGCAGGCGTGTCTCAAAATCCTTGTCAATCTCTACACCGAACAGCGCTGATCGCTGCTCTTGAATCAGACCTAGCGAGTCAGATCTGGTCGAGTCGGCAACAAGAAGACTTCATGGGACGCACGCATGCATGACAAAAAGCATGAAGCGCCTCAATCGACCAAACGATCTCGGAAAGCCAAAGAAGCGTCTGCGGAATGAACTCGAGCGATCGCGCGTCACGAAAAGGCCAGGCAAAAAAACTGGAATGGCCACTAGCTCTTATAATCGACTACCCACTCAACTCGGAAGGATACGTGCTGCAGCAGAGCTTTTGCAGTCAAAATCGAGGTTCAACCGTCAGGCCAGAGGGTACAGCAAGGTGGAGCGAGCCGAGATGGGGAGGAAGTGAAAGCCCAAGGGACATTGGGGGAATGGGAAAACCTGTAGAATCGTAAATCGTGATCCGACAAGGGGGGAGTGGACGGTTGGATGCGGTGAAGTTCCGATTGTCGCGATGTGCTCAATGGTTCATGGATATGCGCGCGGGAAGGACACTGACAGGTGGAGGAATCGCCACCGGTGGAAGGTTCGGTCATTCTACCGCGTTTGTAGCCTCTGCTCACAACAATTATAAACCGTTACTCGGAGTAATCTAGCTGTCTCAACAAACCTGAGCCATGGCAATTCTCCTGAGGAGATCACACTAATCGCATGTGGAGCTTTGTGCGACTGAAAGCGACGCTACCAGATTCTGTGGGCGAGAACTTCTTGGGGTTCCAGCTGCCTTTCAACCAATCAGCAGCATATAAAAAAAAACGTCGTAGCCCCAGGGTGCGGAACTGTACGAATTACGTGGTTCAGTACGGTGACAAACGCTTGATTTTGGCTTTCGCTGGCCACCCTTTTCAACCTCGATGCAACCATTCAAACCGTACAGTACGCACAAATCCTCCATCCATCCCCGTCAGTCAGTGGGTTTTCCTCCCTGACAGGTAGTCCACATCAAAGCTCCAAAACGTTGGGACCTGGTAGGTTCTTTGCAAGGAGAATGTGTGGGGCCAAGTATATTTTCGCACAGAAATGGTAAATGTGTTAGGGTAATGGTCTGAGAGCTGTCAAGACGAACGCTTTCCCGCCTCTTCGTATCCATCGTACCCGAGTCTATGCGACATGTGACTTGCCGTGTTCTTTCTCATCCTCTTGAATCTATTTTCCTCATTCAGTGGCTTTCACCAGTTAGGCGACCACAATTTCAATTTGGTTTTCAAAGAGCATTCAAACGGCGCATGAATTAGGCGCATGGATGCTCGATCATGCGTTTCTCTGAACCACAGCACAGCCTGAGCGTTACGACTACCTGTACTCGCCGTTCAAGGCCGACCGAAGGGCGCGCTAAATGGAGGGACTGAACGGCATACACGGCGACGTGAACAGCGGGACGTTCAGGCGCCGAGATACGCCTGGGAACGACCCTGAAGTGGCGAATCTCAAGAATCGGAAAAGGGTGTCCGCGGTTGTTGGGGCGGATGCGGGGAGAGGGTACAGCGGCCCGCCACAGCTGCTGCTTTCCCCTCATGCGCCCTTTCCGCTGCCCCTCCCCCTTCCGCCCGGATCCAATCGCGACGCCGTCGAGCGATGGCTTCGCGACGCCGTGGCGTCGTGCTTACGTCAGCTGTGCCGGATGACGCCCGACGCGCTCGTCCCCGCGGTGCCGTTTCTCGAGTCGCTCTGCGTGCGATGGTTGCTGCACGACGCGTGGCAGCTCGCCATTGGACAGCAGCGGCTTCAGCTCGGCGGTCGCGTCGAATCGGTGGAGAATGCGAGCAGCGCACATGCAGGCAGGTGAGACCGTTTGATCAAATTGTGAATGGATGGTGTGGTATGGATAGAGATGGTGAACTAGGAATGGTGTGTAGCAGTGGATGGGATATAGGATAGGGAGAATGGTAAGGGTTAGAAACAAAATGGTCAGGTGTGGTGTCTTGATTATCCTGCCCTCGATTTGCTTTCCCTCTTGCTCTCCTGCTCTCTTGCTTCCTCTATCCCTGCTCGTACCCTACTCTCTCTCTGATGGTCCATATATTAAATCAATGCAAGTACAACGGGATAGTGTTATCATGGTAAGCATCTAGCACATGATCTCTGTCTCCGTTCCTCTCGTGTCGCGCGCAGCTATTTATGCGAGGCGGAGTCCGTCCGGGCAGTCGTGGCGCGCATCAAGGAGCAGATCGCAGCAGCCCAGCGCCGACAGCAGCAGCAGCGGCAGCGGCAGGTGGAGGATGGGTACTGGGGCGAGGGCAAACAAGAGGAGCGCGAAGAGCAGAATGGTCTGTCAGACGCGCGATTCTTCCTCGTGGGTGCGGGTGACGAGGCGGAGAGTGGCGAGTGGCAGCGGGTGGTGGCAGCAGCAGTGGCTGGTGAGGTGGGCGCTGCTGTGATAGAGGTGGACGCCCCCTTGCTCTACTCGCTCTCCCATCTGCTGCTCCACGCATCTACTGACGCCTCAACCACCAGCAGTACCACGCCCGGCACTGGGATTATGGGAAATGCTTCGCCACCAGCAGCAATGACATCAACAGCAGCAACGACAGGTGGAACAGCAGCAGGTGTTGCAGGCAGCGAAGGCATGGGCACAGCGGGTACCAGCCCCACCACCTCGTTCGACTCCCTCCCCTCCTCCGCCTTCTCCTCGCCATTCTTCTCCGCCTGCCCCTCGTCCCCCGCCTCCGTCCCGTTCTCCGCCTCACCTCCCCCGCTCCGTCTCTCCTCTCCCGCCGAGGCACAAGGGCTCGGCACAGCAGTGGAGGGAGCCTGGCGCAGGGACAGCGCCAGGGGCAGGAGCAGGAGTGGCAGCAGCAGCGGCAGTAGCAGTGACAGCGGCAGGAGTGGCAGTGGCAACAGCAGTAGCAGCACCACGGGTGGAAGTGGCAGCAGGAGGGGCAGGGGCAGGGGGAGCAGGAGCAGCAGTGCTCGGGAGGTGGTGGCATGGGCGGTGCCGGAGCTGCTGTGTGTGCCGTGGGTGCATGCTGTTCTGCGAGCCATGGACCGAGCCAGGGCGGGCAGGAACCTGCTGCTCGCTCGCATGCTGCTCACCATGTGCCGCCAGGTTTGTCTGCACCCAACTCGCTGTGCTGGAAAATGCACACTGTTCTTTTGTATATAGTGGCTAAAACAGGCGTTGATTGATGGCTCTGCTCTGCATAGCCACCCTTCTTCTCTCCCTCTCTCCCTCGCTCCTTTCCTCTCTAGCCCCAGTCCCTTCCCCCCTCCTCATGCATATCCTCCCCTGTGCCTGCCCTCATCCCTTTCGTGTTGCAGCTGGCGGAGCAGCGTCCGGTGATTCTCTTCCTGCCCCACGCCCACCTGCTCTCAGAATCCCACTCCGATTTTCTCCTCGCCCTCTCCATTGCCTCCAGAGGTAATACCACCTCCATATCCCCCTTGCCCTTGTCCCCATGTTGCTTGTTTCCGTTTCTGAATGCGCACCTCTCTATCTTGCACTGTACCGTGCTTTGAGCTGCCCGCATTCATGTTGAAGCTGTACGCGTGTCTTGATCCATCGCTTCATGCTCGCGTTGCGTTGCCTTGCCTGCCCTCCCTATTGATTTGCATCTCTATCCCCCACGTATCCGCCTTCCTCCCCCACCCTCCCCCTTCCCCCTCTCACTCCCTACCTAAACACCTCTCACACCCATCGTTCTCTGTCTGTCAGAGCGGACCAGCAGCGCGGGCTCTTCAAGTCAAGCACCGCACTCCTCCCCGTGGCCCGTCATCCTCCTCGCCACTGCTCCCATGCCACTGCCTGGCCCTGCCGCTTCACTCCCCCACCACAACCAACACAACCATCAACCTCTCTACAATACCCAGCAGCAGCAACACCACCACCGCAGTCACCAGTTGCAGCACCAGCAGCAGCAGCAGCAGCGCGGGTCAGAGGGCAGGCAGGTGTCTCTCTGGGCGTCTCTGGCGTCTCTGCTGCCCCATGTGCCTCCGGTGATTCTCTGCCTGCCTTGTACCACACCAGCTATGTGGTGCATGAGCTGTTTCCTCACTTGCCATTTTTCCATGCTTTATGCTTTCTCATCTCCACTCCACTCCACTCCACTCAACTCCACTCCATTCACCCTGGCCCTCTCACCTCGGATACAACCTGCTCTGAAGGGTCCTGCTTGCTGGCCTCGCATCTGCTTCTGCCTTCTGCTTTTTTTTTCCCATTCTTGGCTCATCCTTGGCGTTGCTCTTCTCCATTCTTGTGCTGACTGCAGGTGTCCTCACGCCCTCCCTCACTCACCTGCTCGCATCCCTCCTTCGTGTGTGCATCCGCCTCTTCTTCCTCCCCCTCATCGCTCTCATTCGCCTTGCTAAGTCCGCCAAGCTCCTCCCAGCGGCCCCTCCTCAGCCCGCTGCTCTCTTCCCGCCAGCCAATGTGGTGAGTGGTGGCGTACCAGAGTGTGCATATGCTGCTGCTTGCGCTCATGCGTGCTGCTCTGCTCACTACCCTGATCATCAATCCCCTGCACTTCCGCAAACATTCCCTGCTTCACGTGTTGGCTGTTTCATGACTCCTCCAAGCTTTCAGCAACTCTTGCCTCCTGCTGCATTCTTAAGCGTGTCTACCACCCTTCCTCCCTTTTTTATATCGCGTTGGTTGGTTCTCCCTGCAGCTGCCTGTGCAGGTGCCTCTGCTGTTCGACCCATTGGGTCAGGAGGTGGCGCAGTTAGAGGAGAGGGAGGAGAACGAGGAGGAAGGGGAAGAGGATGGGAAGAAGGGAAGGGAAGACGCTCAGAACCTAGTGAGGGTCGAGAAAGTGGAGAGAAACGGAGAAAATCAGAGGAGGGTAGTGACGAGTGCGAGGGAGGAATGTGTGGATGCATCAAACGTAGTGGCATTGCGCATGGCATGGGAGGGGCAGGTGACAGAGCTGAAAGCACGGCTGCAAGAGGCACAGGCGCAGGTACTGGCAGTGGAAGGGCAGGTGCAGCTGGAACAGATGTGGCGGGAGGATTTGCTGCGGCAGGGCGAGATGTGGGAGAGGAAGGCGGAGGGGGAGGCAAGGAGGAGAGAGGAGGCTGAGGGCAGGGAGAGGGAGGTGAGGAGGGAGATGGAAGGGGAGAGGGAGAAGCGGGCGGAAGCTGAGAGGAAGGTGGGTTGTTTGTGTGAGGAAGTGGAGAGGATGAAGGGGAGTGTGGAGAGAGCGGAAGGGGAGGTTAGGAGGGTGGTGAAGGAGGGGAGGGAGAAGGAGAGGGAGGTTAGGGAGGAGGTGCAGAGGCTACAGGAGGAGTTGGTGGTGAGGGAAAAGGAGAGGGAGGAGGAGGTGCGAGAGGCAGCGACCAGAGTGGGTGAGCTGGAGAGACGGATTAGGGATGCGGAGAGAGACGCGGAGGAGTTGAGAGGTTTGGTGCGAGAGGAGGAGCGGAGGAGGGAGGAGGTGGTCCGGGAGAGAGCGGATTTGGGTGAGAGGTTGAGAGAAGCGGACGAGAGGGCGAGGGAAGTGGACGGGCTGAAAGCGCGGGTGAGAGAAGCAGAGGCGAAGGAGGAGAAGGTGGAGGCCTTGAGGGGGAGGCTGAGAGGAGTTGAGGCGATGGTGGGGGAGATGGAGGGTGTTGTGCGAGAGAGCGAGGAGAGAGTGAGGGAGGCCGAGAGGGTCAGTGGGGAGAGGAGAAAGGAGGTTCAGGGGTTAGAAGAAAGGCTTGCTGCTGCTGTGGCGAGAGTGGGGGAACTGGAAGAGGAGGTAAGGGAGAGTGGGGAAAGAGTCAGAGAGAGAGAGGAGAGAGTGAGGGAGGCAAACAGGGTCAGTGGGGAGATGGGGAGGGAGGTGCAAGCGTTAGAGGAGAGGCTTGTTGCTGCTGTGGCGAGGGTGGGGGAACTGGAGGAGGAGGTTAGGGAGAGCAGGGAGAGAGTGATGGAGAGCGAGGGGAGAGTGAGGGATGCGGAGAGGGTCAGTGGCGAGAAGGGGAGGGAGGTGCAATTGATAGAGGAGAAACTTAGTACTGCTGTGGCGAGAGTGGGGGAACTGGAAGAGGAGATTAGTGAGAGTCGGGAGAAAGTAAAGGAGGCAGAGAGAGTTAGTGGGGAAAGGGGAAAGGAGGTAGAGGGGTTACAAGAGAGCCTTGCTGCTGCTGTGGCGAGAGTGGGGGAACTGGAAGAGGAGGTAAGGAAGAGTGAGGCGAGAGTGAGAGAAAGCGAGGAGAGAGTGAGAGAGAGCGAGGAGAGAGCAAGAGAGGGTGAGGAGAGAGTGACAGAGAGCGAGGAGAGAGTGAGAAATAGAGAGGAGAGAGTGAGGGAGGCAGAGAGTGTCAGTGAAGAGAAAGGGAGAGAGGTGCAAGCGTTAGAAGAGAGGCTTGCTGCTGCTGTGGCGAGAATGGGGGAGCTGGAAGAGGAGGTAAGGGAGAATGGGGAGAGAGTGAGAGAGAGGGAGGGGCGGATGAAGGTGTTGGATGCAATGGTGGGGGATTTTGAGGGGCGAGTGAGAGAGAGCGAGGAAAGGGTGAGACATGCGGAGGGGGAGTTCGAAGCGGTTAAAAGGGAGCTGGTCGTGGTGGAGAGATGTAGGAAGGAGCTGGAAGTGCAGGTGAGGGAGTTGGAAGGTGTGAGGGAGGAAGCACGTGTGCGGGAGGAGGAATGGAGAAAGAAAGAGGAAGGGTGGCAGGGGGAAGAGAGGAAGTGGAAGGGGAAGGTGGATGAGTGGAGAGCACTTGAGGACATGTGGAGGACGAAAGAGGAGGAGTTGAGTGTGAAGGTGGAAGAAGAGCAGGCAGTGGTTGATAGACTGAGGAGGAGAGAGCGAGAGGTGGAATTGGAGAGAGTGAGATGGGAGGAGCGGCAGAGGGAGGGGGAGAGAGAGGCAGTGGCTCGGTGGCAGGCTGAAGTTGGGAGGCGGGAGGAGGTGGAGAGGCAAGTGGCTGGGCTGAAAGAACGTGTGCAGGAGGAATCAGAGAGAGTGCGGGCTGCACTGGTGGAAGGGGAGGGTGGGAGGAGGAGAGTGGCCGAGGCGGAAGAAATGGTGAAGGAGGCAGAGATTCGGGTTGCAGAGGCGGTTGAACGGGTTGAGAGGATGGAGAGGCGGGTGCGGGAGTCGGAGGAGAGGCGGGAAGCGGTGGAGGGGGAGTTGGAGGGGTTGAGAGGGATGGTGCGATGGGTGATGGTGAGTGTGGGGGTGGCTGTAGGAGAGGGGGAGCTAGAGGGTGGGTGCAAGGAGGGGTTGGAGAGAATGGCATGGCAGTGGAAGGAGGAGGTGAGAGCGAGGAGGGAGGAGGTGGTTGATTTGAAGAGAGTTCATGAGGAGGAGAGAGCACAGTGGACAGAGGAGGTGGAAGGGTGCAAGCGTGCTTGGGAGGAGGAGCGGGGGCGGTTGCAGGGGGAGGGTGAGAAGCGGGTTCAGGCGTGGAGGGAGGAGGCGGTGGAGCGGAAGCGGGAGGTTAGCGAGTTACAGGCAAGGGTGGCTGAGATGGGGGAGATGGTGGGGGCGATGAGGAGGGATGTGGAGGAGGCAAGGAGGGTGGCTAAAGGGGAGAAGGGCAGGCGAGAGGCAGTGGAGGCACAGGCGAGGGTGCTTCTGGAGAAGGTGGAACTGATGAGGCAGAGGCGGGCGGCAGGGAAGAAACGGCAGGATGTGGGGAAGGCTGTATCTGGGGTGGTGGCAGTGGGGGGAGAAGCCAGTGGGGTGGTTGCAGGTTCACCAGGGAAAGGCGAGGGTCAGGTGGTGGAGGGTGCAGAGAGAAAGGGAGGAGGGGAGGGGGGTGGAGTGGGAGGGGGGAAGAGGCGGTGGAGGGAGGAGGTGGCAGTGCTGTTGGGTCGAGTGGAGCAGATGGGGCGGGAGAGGGAGGAGGCGGAGAGGGCGTGGGTGGGGCGGATGGCAGCAGTGGAGATGCGCAACGTGGTGATGGGGGTGGAGCTGGCTGCCGTGGAGAGGGAGAGAGACGCGCTGCTCAGCACCCTCATGGCGTCTGCTGCTTCTGCCGGTGGGGTCGCTCGTGGTGCTTCAGCTGGTGGGGTCGCACTCTCTCGTGGCGCTGTTTCGCGTGGTGGTGCTTCTCCTGGGCTCTTGCGCACTGTGCCGTCCTCCTCGCCCTCTTCACCCTCCGTGTCCCCTTCACCCCTCCACGCTTCTGCGTTCTCGCGTGTGCTGCCAACCCGGCTCTTTGCCAATGGTGGGTCGATTGGGTCCGCAGACGGTGCTAATGCTGCTGATTATGCACCTGCTGCTGTTGCTGCTGCAGCTGCTGCTACTGCTACCGGCAGTGCTGTTGGAGGCAGTGGTGAGGGGCCTGTTGCGAGTGGTGAGGGGGAGACTGGTGTGCTTGCAGTGAGCCGCAGAATGAGCAGTGGGTCAGGGAGAGGGAACACAGGGGGTCATGCATCGGCATCAGCAACAGCAGCTGCAGCATCAACCCTAACAGCACTGTCACCCCTAGAAGCAGCATCACCCGTGGCAGTAGCACCTGCAGCAGAGGGGTTGGAGGAGGGGGAGGGGCTTGGACCGCGGTGGAGCAGCCTGGCGACAGTGTGGCCGCTATCGTGATTGCGGCGTGACCAAATGCCCTCTCACTGCTGCTGCTGCTGCTGCTGCAGATTGCAGTCATAGCTGCTCTTTTTTTCTCCATCGTCTGTCTCGCCTCCGCGCGCCTGACCACAGCCAACCATCCATGCTACCACTGTGGTGTGGTGTTTGTTATGCCATCAGCTCTGTCACTGCTGCCTACAGCATCGTTGATAAGTTGCAACTTGGAAGAAATTTTGTATTCAGCTGACAACTTGCGCTCTTCTACAGTCTTGTGCAGCAAGGCCACAACAACCTACCGTAGCTGCTGGAAACTCCCTTTCCCCTTGCCCTTTTCACTGTCCTGTGTAGGGGCTCTACGCACTCTCTCATTACCGGTACCGGTAGCTGTTGTTCAGAATGTTTGCTTTGCGTAGAGCTAAAAGACGATACAACATCCACAGCACTGGTACTGTACGTTAAGAGGAGAATCGGTCTCCCAGCACATACAGTAAGGCAAGAGACCCCCCCTAATTCCTAAGACTCATGCAGTCTCTTCGAGAAATCGACTAGAAGTCCTAAGGGTGGTAGTCTCCATTCATTCTGCACGTCAGAGGGACTCTTGAGAAAAAAACCCTTCACTACTACTGTATTCCCACAACAGCACAACATTGAGGGAAGTTTGCTGGTTTGTAACATTCAGAATTACATTGCCAGGGCCCAGGATGCTACAGTGTGGTAGCACAGGTGTCAGCAGCACACCTGTGGTAGCACTGGTATTCAGCACAGGCACTGTACCAATACTGTATGTTGCTTCTTGCCAAGCTGCTAACCTCTCAACTTCAAGGTCATTATACAGTAATGTGAACAGGTGTACAGAATTGCAAAAAAGGCTGGTATCTGATGCAGTACCAAAATGTTTATCAATAAAAACGCAGTAGTAGGTAGTTACAAACAGGCTATATAACGCTCAATTAACCAAAACTTGTACAGCAGAATCTGCCTGCTGCTGGCCAATCAAATGAAGCCATGCGCCAGACCGGAATTCAGAGAGCCGTTTCTGTAGCTGCCAAGCCAACCAGTCACACCACATACAGCCACGTGCCAGACCAGGCAGGTGAGAAGTCAAATGACATGCAGCACACACAAGCAGCCACACTCACAGAAAATGGCATGTGGTGAAGGCAGGCCTGAGAGTGTCGCACAAACAACAGAATTCACCCACTTGAGTGGCTTGGTTGTGGAAGACTGGAGGGGGGTGTGAGAGATGAGGGAAATGCGGGGGCGGTGGTAGGGGAGCGGAGGGAGTTGAAGGGTGGATGTGGGAGAGGAGGGGGGGGGGGGGGGGGACGAGGAATCAGCGAGGGGAAAGTGTAGGTAGTGGAGGAGGAAGGGGATGAGGGGTGAGTCGGAAAGCAGGGAACAGGGGTGGAGGGAGAGAGGGGGGGAACAGAGTAAGACAAGGGGAGGTGGGGGGGAACAGAGTGAGACAAGGGGAGGTGGGGGGGAACAGAGTGAGACAAGGGGAGGTGAGGGTGGGCGTGAAGGAAGAGAAGAGAGCCAGCAGAGGGTGGGCGTGAAGGAAGAGAAGAGAGGCAGCAGAGGGTGGGCGTGAAGGAAGAGAAGAGAGGCAGCAGAGGGTGGGCGTGAAGGAAGAGAAGAGAGGCAGCAGTGATATGAAGGGGAAGCTAGGAAATGGAGAGACAAAAAAGCAAGGAAATGGGAAGGGGGAGGGGAGATCAAAGGGTGGCCACTTCGCCTTTTACTTTCCGCTAATCCTCTCCGTCCTCAATCATATCCCTTCACCCGTGTATTCCTTCTTTTCTCCCCTCCACCCACCTCCCGGCCTCCCTTTTTCCCGTCTTGCGTCCAGGGTACCATCGACGCGCACTAGAATCAGGAAGATGAAGGGGAGAGCGGAAACGGGAGAAGAAAGCGGAAAACAAGGAGAAAGTGGCCGCTTTGCCGTTTCGCCAGTCCTTACCATCCATTTCCCCATCTTCTCCCCTCCACTCACCTTCCGCCCTTTTTCTTCCCGTCTTGCGTCCAGGATACCGTCGACGCTCCGAGGTCAACGAAACGCGCTGTATAATCGACGAAGTGCGCTACCTTACCGATGCGTCCAATACCTTATCGACGCTACTAATTCGCCCGGTTACGATTCCATCCGCACCATGTAAATAGAAGCCAGATCTGGATCGCGCAACTTCTTACCAATACTGCGACATCTGATTATATCTAATGCAGCTAGCACGCCAACAGACGCCTGAAGCGACTTACAGTAAGTACCACCGAGAAGGTGAGCAACACTTGCTACATCGTAAAAGGAAAAATCTGCCATGAAAAAGATGTACTCAGATCAAGTACCGCGCTGAGGTCTGACCTAACAAGAATCATCCATGGACACTAACAAGGTGAGCGGCGAAACTACTACTGAAGCAGATTAGGTCGAGAAGTCAGGCCCTCGCTATTGCTTTCTGGACAATGACGGGTGAGGGATTAGGCGTGGCAGGTTCGGAAAGTCGAGGTTCGGGTTGTTGATAAGGCCGTGGTGACCGTGCCAGGGTGTCAAAACCACCCTTCATTCCCATTGGTTCACGTAAATCTTTTCTCATCCACCCATTGTTTTTCCTGCTGCCCAGCCAGCCGAACTTTTCAGCACCACGCACGAATTCCACGACCAAATCAAAGCCGTTCCGCACCTCACGCCGAACTAAAAACAAACCACCTACATTCCCAAAAAAATACTAATGACCCAACTGAAGATAGCGCCACGTCAACCACCTCCTAGAAAGTTCGAGCCTGCCCTTCCCCACCAGCACGTTCAAGACACCTCCCCTTGCGCAAATACGCACCCTTGGCAAATTCGTTTGCAAATGTCAACCTAATTGTGTACTGTACAAAGAATGTACACAATATGGGTTGGGCTGGATGGATAAGGTGGGAAGACACTTTGGATCCTGAGGTGTATGATATCATGGACAGATTTCCCGCCATCGCCTCCCGCACGGACCTCAGAACCGTTTCAACTCGGCAGTTTTCGTGCAAGCCTAGGGATAATCTACGCTGGCGAACAGATATCTCTTCGCCAACAACCAGTCTCACGAAACTGACGCATGGAAAAATTTGCCTCGTTTTGGCGAAGTAATCGCCGAAGGGGATTGCCGCTCAACTTGACCCTTGAACAAAGCTCCTGCGCGTTGACGAAGGCCATTTTTCAGTCACCAATGTGTTCGCCAATTCGCAAGAACCTGAGTTGGCTGGCCTCCTCCTTCAAGCGGATGACCTCACGGCTGCTCTGTAGCTTGTCCCTACCGCCCTACCGCCGCTTGTGTCAGGCCCAGCACAGAATCTTAATTTCCCTCCCAACTCATCGCCCTGCATCCGCCTCCTTGGCACTAGAGCAGCTCAAATTGATAGCACGCTTCGGGAAACGAACCGCGCCGTTGGATTAGCGGCTGTTTTTGGCCACGTCACGAGATTTTCGCAATTGGTGTTTCTACCCGTGTTTCTTTCTGTCCAATCAATTAGCCTACCTGTCTTCAACTGAAGCCACAGGATAATGCTCCCATCGCATGTGGTCGACTCCACACTAAGCGGTCCAATCAGAAGCCACTGTTTGTGTTGTCGGCGGAGTGTTCCGATCCACCGCATTCCAGCGTGGCACATTTGGGACCACCTCAGAGCCAGCAAGGCATATTCTCAACCATTGAATGGTTTCATCACATTAGGCGCCGCGACGTCGGGATCCCAACGGACCGCATTCAGGCAGGTGCACGGTTTCTTGCAGATCTATTCATGATCATCCGCGCTCCTCGAAAATTAGTTCGTTTCATCAGCCTCCTTGACATTATTGTCAACCAAGCTTAGCTTTCGTTCACCCGAGCAGTTTCAAAGCATCGTCGTCGTCTCACGTCGCCACCAGTCACCCTGGCATAGATCGCTTGGTCGAATTGCCGAGCGTCATGACGTCTCGCATCTTCGTTAGACGACTTCACCTGGTTATTGTTTTCAACGTCAGGTACACAAACAGCCGTTTTTCGATTTCGTTTTTTGTTCGTTTTTCTTGCATTCTTTTCTTCAATCCGTTTACTAACTTCTGCTCGTTTTTATCGTTGCAGATTGCATGGAGGCTCCTGCTCGTACTTCAGAAGGCATTGGTGGAGGGACAACCTTTGGCAGCCTCCCAACCAATCTTCATGGCGGGCAACTAAGGAGCTGCTCCTCGATTTAACTTAACGGTGAAGGTTGAATGTATCAACCCCACCACAGAGCCATCCCCCCTGGTACAGGTTTGGTACAGGTTTGGTACAGGTGCGGTACAGGTCCCCTCAAGGTATTTTTTTTGGTTGGTAATCGGCTCTGTGGTGCTGTGGTAAGCAGCAGCATGTGTTTTTTCCCGTTTTTTCATAGTCTTTGCTTGTTTATGAAGTCGATTTATTAACTTATGCGTTTTCATACTTGCAGGTTGGACATGGAGGCTTCTGGATGCCAAAGGCTTCAGAAGGCATTGGAGGACCAACGGCCTTCATTACATCAACCTTGAAGCTTCACGGCACCAAAGGAGCAGCTCCCCAACTTACCTTCACGGTGAAGGTTGAATGTATCAAACCCACCACAGAGCCATCCCCCCGGTTTAGGTTTGGTACAGGTTTGGTACAGGTGCGGTACAGGTCTCCTGGTATTTTTTTTGGTTGGTAATCGGCTCTGTGGTGCTGTGGTAAGCAGCAGCATATGCTTTTTCCGCTTTTGCACAGTTTTTGCTCGTTTTTGCATGGTTTTTTTTTATTCGATTTACTAACTTATGCGTTTTTATACTTGCAGGTTGGACATGGAGGCTCCTGGGCGCCACTTCAGAAGGCATTGGAGGACCAACGGCCTTCATTACATCAACCCTCCAAGCTTCACGGCAGCAAAGGAGCAGCTCCCCAACTTACCTTCACGGTGAAGGTTGAACGTATCGGCCCCACAGAGCCACCCCCCCGGTTAAGGTTCGGTAAAGGTTTGGTACAGGTGCGGTACAGGTCCATTAGGTTGGTAATCGGCTCTGTGGTGGCGTGGTAAGTATTTTTTGAGTTTTGTTTTTGCATCCTTTGTTAATTCAGTTTACTAACTTATGCGTTTTTATACTTGCAGGTTGGATATGGAGCCTCCTGGGCGCCACTTCAGAAGGCATTGGAGGACCAACGGCCTTCATTACATCAACCCTTCAAGCTTCACGGCAACAAAGGAGCAGCTCCGCAACTTACCTTCACGGTTAAGGTTGAACGTATCGACCCCACAGAGCCCACCCCCCCGGTTAAGGTTCGGTAAAGGTTTGGTACAGGTGCGGTACAGGTCCCTTTGGTTGGTAATCGGCTCTGTGGTGGTGTGGTAAATATACTTTTGAGTTCCGTTTTTTCATCCTTTGTTAGTTCAGTTTACTAACGTTCGCGTGTTTATTCTTGCAGGTTCTATTTAACGCGCTTGTGCCACACTGCTAAGCGCGGGGTGAACGTACCTGCCGACACCACTGGCAGGCGCCTCCTCTCTCTCCACCAGCAGTAAGTCCCGTCTCTCTGGACTTTACCCCTCATCTCTTGCTTTCTGTTGCTTAATGATTCTGAAGTTACTTGATTTACTAACTTGGTTTTATTCTTACTTTATTTGGCAGGTTGCTCAACCAAGGGACCTTCAGCAACATCCAACATCCATGGGAGGCGCCTCAAGACTCAACCTTGGCGAGATAAGTTGCCTACCCCTTGTCTTTAACGCTCCTTACTTTGCTGCACATTCCCCTTCGTCTGCATCCACGCTTGCTGACTCCTTTGCTTTATTCAAGTTGTGGCTTCATGATGATTCCGTTCACTGACTTGGTTCGTTTACCTCCTGGCAGATTCTCTCCAAGGGCTTGCGTCTCTTCACGACCATGAAGCCTCAAGTCCCCGCGCACTGCTCAACGCCTTCAACTCCCCAACTGCAGATAAGTCTCAGTCCTTTGCGCCTAGTCGGTTTTGCTAAACCTTTTTTTATGAAGTTGTGTTCGTCATTTTGCTTTGTCGCATGCTGCCTCGTTGCTGTTTTTTAAGAGCCTGGACTAATCTTTTCCTTTCTTACCATGCAGGTTCCTTTATGGCTGTTGAAGGTTGAAGGCAGTGCATGAGAGAGGGTGAACCCTTGAGCATTGGGCTAAGCACTCGATTCCGGGCCAAACCGGACTGGTTCTGTCCCCCTCCGCCCCCGCCAAGTGCCAACACTGTCTGGCCAGCAGTTGTTGTCATTTGGTGGAGGTGGGGGTGAACAGAGCCAGTCCCTAGTAGGGCTCCCGCATGTCTTGGGCGAAGCAATGCTCAAGGCTCAGCCTTCCTCTCTGCCTGTTGAGCTGCCAGTCCATGCCGAGGTGGGCATGGATGGCATGCTGCCACTAGCAAGGATATTAGCAGTACCTTTAGCCAGGATGCATCAGCTTGTTACTGTATGTTTAGGCTGAGAAATAATGGACCATATTTAGTGCACTGTAGGATCATGAGCCTGTTGTTTGTACGCTTCCTCTGGGATAATTACTGAAGAGAATACAGGTGTGATGGTATGCATGGAAGTATAATGTATACAAAGAAATCCCGCACATGAACATGTATCAGGATAATCAGACTTGGTTCACAAAAGGAGTCTAACAGTTTATATCGGTGATTTGCATTGACGAACTGCCATTCCGTTCCCTCCCCATTCTCCGTTTCTGAATTCTCAGCCATGGCAGACAAAGCGTCAAACATCTGGGCAGAGAGCGCAGCGGCGGAGAGCAGTGGGCACAAGCGGAAGGCGTCCCTTCCGTCCGCACGAAAGCAGAATGAGTGATTCCAAGTCTGTTGTGAACCAGCGAGAATGACCCGCCCTCAGCGTTCCTAGCGACCTTGATCTGGACGAAACCCGACCGTGCGAGTGAGCCAGAGAGCCATGGCAGTAACAATCGCTCTTCGCGCTGTCGCGAGCGATCGCACGAAACACGGTAGAGAGGGTCGACGCGATACTACTAGTCACCGATGTAGGGGAGTGCTAATACATAATGCGCTACCTAGTGCGCTGCCTAATGCGTTACTTAATGCGCTGCCTATTGCGCCGCCTACTAATGCGCTACTGCTACTACTTCTGACAGCCGTCGCGGGGACGTTGACAGTTTCGCCGCGATCGCACACGGGCTTCGCCGGCGTCGCCGTCGTCGTCGCAGCGGGGCGGCCGTCGCAGCAAGGCAGCGCGTTCGAGTGCGACGAGTCGCAGACCGCCATGTACTCGACGTCGTTCGATCCCTGTACTCCCCCTCCGCCCCCCTCTCCTTTCCTCATGGATCCGCGGAACGATCCTCGTGTGGCAAGCAATGGCGATTTGGATTCCTCATGGATTCTTCTGCGGATGCGCGCCTACTCTCACTCACCTCCTCACGCGCTATCCAGCTCCCTCTTCCCTCCCCCACCCCCTTCTCCCTCCGCTAGAACACCTGATTCCCCCATTCACTCCCGCTCCCCCCTTCTCCCCCTCTTCCCCCCTCCCCCTGCTCCTTCCTCCGCGTCGTCCCCCCAGCCGCGGCGCCATCCGCGCGGTACTCGCCATCGGGAATTGCCTGAGCTGAGCAAAGCGCGCCTCCACCTGGCTCCCCCTGTTCCCCTTTCCCGCTCTCCTCCGTCAGCCGCGGCGCCATCCGCGCGGTACCTGGCCGTGAGTCGCAGGCCGCCATGTACTCGACTTCGTTCGATCCCTGTACTCCCCCTCACCTTCCACTGCCGAATAATGACGACGCGTCATCTGGGACCCATTGTCCATCTCTCTCGTATATGACATTCTTGAACCTTCAGAATGTGCGCCTTCTCACACCTCCTCTTTTAAAGCGCCTGCACTTGCTTCCCCCACTCACTCCCGCTCCCCCCATCTCCCCCTCCCCATGCCCCTTCCTCCGCGTCCTTCCCCCAGTCGCGGCGCCATCCGCGCGGTACCTCGCCTTCGGGAATCTCCTGAGCTGAGCAAAGCGCGGCTCCCCCTGTTCCCCCTTCCCCTCCCTCCCTCCTCTCCCCCCGCACGTTTCTCCCCCTCCTCCGCCAGCCGCGGCGCCATGCGCGCGGTACCTGGCCGTGGGGAATCTCTGGGAGCAGCTGAGCAAGGCGCGCCTCCACCTGGCGGAAGCCATGGCTCTCGCGCGCCACTGGGGGCGCACGCTCGTGCTGCCACGTGTGCACAGCAACCGCATCGGCGGCAACAACCCGCCACGTGGCATGCTCCCCGCGTGCGCGTATTTTGACACGGTGCTGATGGGGCGGTTCGTGCCGTGGGTGCGTGAGGAGTATCTCTGGCGGACAGTAGTGCCCGCTTGGGAGGGGCAAGGGGGAGCGGGCGCGGAGGAGGCGGAGGGGGACGCGGGGAAACGGGGAGGAGGAGGAGAAGGAGGCGGAGGGGGAGAAGGGAGAGGAGGGCGCGGAGGCGAGTTGAGGGGACACATCCCATTGCACCAGATGCAACACATCCCGCAACGCCCCCAAACCCCTCTCCCTCTGCTACCCCTCTCCCGCACTTCTCCCCCCCCTCTTGTGATCCCTCTCGCTCTGTGATCTCCCCCCAATCCCCCGCCTCACCCGCCCCCTCCCACAACCACCAGACCGCCTCGGTGCCAAAAACGAAGCTTCCATTTCCCTCCTCCCCGCACCTACCCTCCTCCTGGAACTCATCTCTCTACGCCCTGGCCTTCTCGCCCTCCTCGCCCCTCTACTGCACCACGAGCTGTGACGACCGCGCGTGGCTGCGCTGGGTGCCCCCGCGAGCAGACCACCTGCGCTTGCCCGAGGAGCTGGCCGTGCTCATGAAGTTCACGCACACCGCGTGCTTAGGGCGCCTGCAACCGCTGGGGTGTGCGGGTTGTGTGTGTGTGTTCACCTGCGCTTGCCCGAGGAGCTGGCAGTGCTCATCCAGTTCACCCACACCGTGTGCCGGGGCTGCCTGTAACCGCTGGTGGGTGTGTGTGAGTGTGTGGGTAGGTATGCAAGTGCGTGTGGGTGCGGGAATGAGGGGAGAATGTATTGTGTAGCTGGGGTGTTGGGTGCCGGAGGAGGTGGCTGTGCTCATGAAGTTCACTCACACCTTGTGCTTAGGGCGCTGCAACCAAGCCTACTCTTGATTGAGCCACGCCAATGTACCTACACCCCTCTCTCTCTCCCAACCCTTTTTCTTCACACCTTTCCCATCTTTCCCTCCCTCCCCCTCCGTTCCCACTCTTCTTCCCTCACTTCTGCTCTCCCTGCTCCCTCCCTCCCTTCCTCCCCCACTTTCAGGCGGAGCAAGCGAAGCAGCACCTAGCATACGCCCCCCACCTGCACCGACTAGCCTCCTCCTTCGCAGCCCAGCACCTGGGCGGAAGGCGGTACGTGGCAGCGCACTGGCGGATGGAGAAGGCGATGATGAGCCACCGGTCGCCCGTGCAGATGCACCTGTGCGTGCAGGGCCTGCGCTGCTCAGAGACACGTCCGCGTGGCCGCTGCAGGAGAGGGAGAGAGGGGCGATGCCGGGGGAGGGCGGAGCGGAGGGAGCGGAGGAGAGGGAGGGGGAGGGGGAGGGAGGGAGGGAGAAGGGGAAAAGGTGCCAGCGTTTATGGCTACGGTTCCGACTCCGGAAAACAAGTGAGCAGTGGGGGCGGGATGGAGGTAATATGTGAACGGCGGGAATGCGGGGGGGTATGCGGGGTGAGGGGAATGGCGGGCGCGGAAAGGAAGTCAGGTTGCCCTGATTCCGGTCAGCTGTATATTTTTGAAGGAGTTCCTGAAGCTTTTTTTCTTACCCACTCCCTTCCATCCATCCATCTCCAGCACTCTCTCCCTTGCCCCTTCTATCCTTCACTCTCTTCTCTCCCTTTGCTCCCTCCCTCGGCCTGCGCATCCCCCCCTCCCTTCCTCCCTCCCTGTCTCGTTCCACGCATGCACATTGCCGGTGGTGCCACCAGGTGGCTATCAGGCGCAGCAAGATTTGACCAGCACCACCCAGGACGTTGCAATATGCCGTCAGGGTCAGAACCACCTCCCTTCACTCACCGTCCCTCCATGAACACTCCAGCCCAGAATCACCCCTCCAATAGCATGCAGGGTTGGTCAGGTCATTATTTGTGGCTTTCAGCATGAAGCAGCTGTCCCCCTCGTTCCCTCTTCCGTCCCTCGCCCACTCTCCTCTCTGTCGACCGTGCCCCGGTCCCACCCGTGCCAACCTATCACCCCTCCCATCCCTCTCAGGAGCTCTATGCCCTGCTCAAGCCCACTCGGCTCGAGTCATTTCTCCCCGGTTTAAGAGAGGCGGATCTTGGGGTGCAGGTACGTCCTTCTCTCCTTCTTCAATACAGCTGTAATACAACATTCGTGTGTTGATTCTCTCATCTCATCCGTACTTTCCTCCATACGTCTCCATCCCACTCCAGATCCCTCTCCTTTGTTCTGTCTTCTCCCAATCCCCATTTTACTTTTGGTTAGCCAATTGTTCCTCCCTCCCCCTCCCGTGCCTGTTCCCCACTCCCACGCACATGCGCCCCTCGCCGTCTTCCCACCCCCGTGGCTAATCTCAATCCCCGCCCTCCATTTTCAGGACCTTGTAAAGCTGCTGTGCATAAAGGCGACAGTGTTCCTGTAACCACCACTCAACTGCAGAAACTCACATCCCCATGTATGCCGTTCTCCCTTCCCATGCGCCACCATCCCCTTTTCCCCTTTCCTCCCCCCCCTCTCCCTTCCACCCCACCAGGCCATATTGGACAAGCTGCTGTGCATAAAGGCGACAGTGTTCCTGTAACCGCCACTCAACTGCAGGAACTCACATCCCCACGTATGCTCGTTCTCCCTTCCCATGCACCCCCTTTCCTCTCCACTCCCTGCCCTCCCTCGCTCACACCAGGCCATATTGGACAAGCTGCTGTGCATGAAGGCAGCAGTGTTCCTGTACCTGCCACTCAACTGCAGAAACTCATATTCCCATGTATGCCCCTTCTTCCTTCCTCTTCCCTCCCGCCCCCTCACACCCCACCAGGCCATATTGGGCAAGCTGCTGTGCATAAAGGCGACAGTGTTCCTGTACCCGCCAGTCAGCTGCAGGAACTATGCGCCCACAGGGAGTGGCTCCGCAGTTGCAGATGAGATCTGCTGGTGGCGCGAGCGCCTAGCGCAGCAGCGGAATGTGAGCAGGGGAGGGGAAGGTCGGACTGGTACTGTTAAGAACTTTCCTCCATGTTTAGTTATCAATTAAAGAAACGAACTTTCGCATGAATAACACCTGGCAACTTGGACAGAGTTCTGTTGTGAAACTTATATTTTTCTGCACGAACAAATACACGTTCAGTGTAGTTTGTACCAGCAAAAGAAGGGGTACTACTGAAGTTACAGAACTCCCATTCTTCCCTGCCCCGCGACTCCAACAAGAGACTTCGCCTGACGGTTCCTAGTGCGCCACATGCATTTCGTGGCGGAAGGTGGATTTCGGAGCATTTTCTCGTCGTTCTTGAGTCTCAGCAGCATTTTCTCGTGGCCGAGGTTGCCGCAAATACGTTCTGGTGACCATTCACCTTAGACTTGCTCCCAATCTAAGGTTGCTGGAAATTCGATATTATTCTCCATTCTCCTTTTCCGGACTCTCGCCATGGCGGAGAAAGCGTCAGACATCCCAGCAGAGAGCGCAGCGGCGGGGAACAGTGGGCAGAAACGGAAGGCGGAGATTGGGGCGGGCGGAAGCGATCGGATCGACGGGGGAGGCGCGCAGGAGGCGAAGAGGCGAGACAAGGGGAAGGCAGTGGCGGCGGCGGACGCCAAGGGGAAGGGCAAGGCGGAGAGCGAGCGGCCCTCGCGCGCGCGCGGTAGCGATTCTAGCGGCGGCGGCGGCGGCGGAAGCAGCAGCGATGATGGGAGCGACGGCGCCGCCGTGGCTGCTGTGAGGGCTTCGCGGGATTGGCGCGCGGGGGAGGGGGAGGGGTCGCAAGGCGCGCGCGAGGGTGCGGAGGCGGAAGCGGAAGGTGATGCGGGGGAAGGCGCGGACGTGCGGATAGTGGCGGAGCCGTGGGGGACAGTGGACCTGGATAATATCGTGGCGAGCAGGACTCGCAGTGGCAGGGAGTCTAGGCGCACTGGCGTGAGGATAGCGGAGGGCGGCGATGGTGGCGGCGGTGGTGGTGATGCTGCTGCGGCGGCCGCTGCGTTGGTGGGCAGTGCAGGCGGTGGGAGTCAAGCGGGAAAGGAAACGGAGGGGGCAGATGCAGAGGAAGAGGATGAGGATGAAGAGGATGAGGAGTTTGAGGTAGAGGAGGAGGAGGAGGAGGACGATGAGGATGATGACGAAGATGAATCAGACGAGGAAGATGAGGATGAGGAAGAGGAGGGGTAGATAGAACGATGAGCAAGTGAACGCACAGCACATTGATTTGTGGAGAAAGGTTGGGTGTGTGCAGAGCAAAAGGCCGCTAGAAAGATTGGGTAGTCCTAAAGTACCAACCAACGTAGGCCCCGAGTAGTACGGTAGTGTGTTCCAGGACAGCAGGTAGTAAGGCATTGCCACCAAGTGGCCAATTAGGGTGCATTCCTGTGGAGACACAAATGTCTCAATCGCTTTGTGACACACAAAAACAGCATAAACTGTAGTGTGTCCCAATTTCGAGTCGCATTTCCGCGACCATTACTGTATTTTTTATTGGTCAGCGTGAAACGCGCTGACGTCGCTGACGAATTGTAATCTGACTCGTCAATGTGAAAAATTCGCACGCTGCTCGAAATGTCAATGCACCTGGACAGCCTGCAATGCCAATTTCGTGCGGGAAAAAATCCCGCTCGTCGAAACCACACCCCAGCCAAGCGGTTGAAAAAAGGGATGTACAGTCATTTGTGTCACCCAAACAAATGCGCACAACTGTACATCTCGCCTGGTCGCCTAGAGTCGCGATACATTGGTTGTTTGTGACAACATTTGGCAAATTTACAGGGTGGCTCTGCTATGATGGCAAGCCCGCAAACAGTCCAGCAAGTTCCATAATGGTCCTCAAACCCCCCCTCGTGCCCTTTTTCCCCTCATCCCCACCAACACCTGGCAGTTCTACTGTGACGACAATCAGGACTTCCCCTGCGAGCCATCGCCCCACAACGTGGCACTCGTAAACATCTCGTACACCGATGTGTTCGGCACCGCCTCCAAGTAAGTGGATTTCAGGTCATTGAAAAACATATCGTTCCAGTCAACTCATAACTCACCGTATGAATCCAAAGCCATCGCCCCACAACGCGGCACTGGTGAACATCTCGCACACAGATGTGTACGGTACCGCCTCCAAGTAAGTGGCTCCTTAGTCTACCCAATGCGACTCGGGAAATCGGGGATTGAGACACAAGTGTCCCCGCAGGAATGCACCCTAAATGCAAGTCCAATATTTTGGTCGGACTGTGATCTTTGATGTACTCTCTTGCTCCATTCAGATCTTTTTCTCGTTTCTGGCCCTTCTCGTTGCTTCTGTATGCTGTGGAGGGGAGTGCAAAAACTCTCCAGCAATCAATGCAGACATTCAACTGCTGTGGTGTGGTGGAGTCATGTGAAAGGCAAAGCATGAGTTGTGCACTGCTAGCTTCTCATCTCATCTCACTACCACAAGTGATTCCAAGCTGGACATTGGAACTGGCATAGAGCGTGTTCCTAACCTCGTATCAAGATAACCTCGTATCAGGCTCACACTGAAAATTCCCCTAAACCCAAAGCCTCTTGCTAGTTTTACCAGGCAAAAACAGCATTCTTGATACGAGGTTCCCTGATATGAGGCCGTAGGAACACGCTCATAGAATCCGCAAACGCAGTCATGTACCATACTCACATGCCATAACGGATTGCTATCTGCTAGACTGGCGCTCATATTAACAACGTGTATTGACTGAATCTAAATCTACCCACAGCAGGGTACAGTAATAGGAGAAATACTACAGTATATGGCAGGACACAGTGGCGATGAGACGGGCAATTGTATGTGCTTTTACACGTTGGTGTTCCCTATACCCGCTGAAGCCATTGCTGCTTCCCGCCGGAACTGGTTGCTCTTGCCCTCCCCTCGGAAGTAAGCATACACAAGCTGAGCACAACGCGGGAGGAGCAAAGAGAAGCATCATCAATTAGAGGTGCACAGGAGCAGAGCATAAAGCACCAGAGGAAATGCAAGCAGAGAATGCAGCAAAGATTAGGCGGGGATGCACGGGTTGACAGGACGAGCAGAATGTGAGACAGCACTGTGGTGGAAAGAAGTACATGCGTGAAGGGGGGTGGAACATACCCCGAGGGTGTATATGGACAGGCAGGACTCCCCAATGAAGAGAGCTGTACCAACAGCGAAGAAGATCTGATGGGCAAACGGTGGAGACAGTACATGGCCATCGTGAAACGGCCAAGGGGGGTAATAGCGTGGGATTTGTACGAGCGAATCACAAGGAACAAAGCAGCTGTGATGAGTACGGAGGGTGCTTACCCCAGTTGTAACGGAGTTACCAAAGACAGAGATGGTGGAGAGCACTCCGCTGGTGGAAGGGGAAGGGCAAACAGAGCAGAAACATATCTGGCATCGTTAGGAGCAGGACCAACTGTGAAATGAGAATAGCATGAGCTTTTAAAAGCAGCGGGAAGGAAGGTGGATATTGCTGGTGGTCCATGGAACTCACGTGAGGGCCAAGCCACTGAAGAAAATGGGCGGAGCGACTGAGGCGAAGATGCAGAAGCCACAATGGATCTGAGGGCGGCGGACAAAGGAGGACATGGGAGAAGAGGGGGACAGGGGAGTTGACACGACCATCAGCAGAGAGTGGTTAAGAGCCTTGGGGCGTTGTGGGGACTTGCAAACTCTGGGAAAACAGTAGACCAGGCGACTAGGATTGACAGCGAAACATCGCTTGTTAAAGGGATTTCTGACACTGATGGGATGGGGTGTCGTGCACATGTACAGGCAGAATGAGATGTGAGGCCCACAGAGTGTTCCACTCACCAGGTAACCAAGGAAGAAGATTCCAAAGCCAAGCGCACTGTCCTTCCTGTGAGCCATCACCAAGAGAATGCGAATTGAAGGAGGAATTGAACAGGATGCGAAAAACAAACAGAAGGGGTGAACTTGAATAACTTGAGCAATCAAAGGCCCAGTACAATGGAAGAACGAAATAGGAGTAAGGCAATTGCTGAGAACAGGAAGGAGATGTAGCAGCAGGAAAATTCGTGAGCAGCAGGCTTGGGAAGAGCACATAGGCTCGTTGGCTTCCAGCACGAAGGCGACGTACTTGAGTGAGTTGTAGAGGCGGCGGTACCACAGGATGTAGGAGAGGGGGATGCCCAGCACGCCATAGATGATGGCCAGGAAGAAGTTACCCATGCCTGGTGCCCGCACGCCCACGCCATGGTGAGACGAAGTGGGGTGAGGAGGGGGAGGAGGGCAGGCCGAGGAGGAGGGGAAGGAAGCGAGGGGGGAGAGAGGGGGGGAGGAGTTTGGGAAAGGAGAAGGTGCCGTGGTTTTGGTAACAATCAGCTTCTCTGTAAATGGGGCACTGCATAGCTGTCCAGTGATGGCTATTATTGCTCTGGAATGTCCAAACGAAACATTGTGGTTTCAGCAATGGAAAGCCTGGAAGGGAAGCAGTGAGGGGTACGAGCGAGGCAATACAGACCGGAGGTGGAGCTGACAGCGCCGAGGACCCAAGACACGATCACTGCAACCAGGTTGAACACCAGGCACAGAATGATGCCTGCACGCGCGGTGTGTGTGGGTGGGTGGGTGGGGGAGATGAGGGAGGAAAGGGGAAGGGCGATGAGCCAAGAGCCGCGCAGAGGAGTGGACGGGAAGGGGGAAAGTTGAAAGGGCGTTGGGACGAGATGAGAGAGTGGTGGAAACGTGATAGATCAAACAAGCGGAAAGAAACACGTCAGAAAGAGAGAGACGAGAGAGGGAAGTCGCGAGTGAGCAGTCCAAGGAAAGGGCGAGACGACGCACCGAGCCAGGAGGCGAAGGCGGGGTATTGCATGTATTGCACGTGGGCGGGGATGTCCGCGGAGATGTCGTGCTGGATGAGGGGGAAGAACGGCGGGAAGTTGTTGCGCTGGATCCCCAGCGCTGGTACGGGCGAGAGGAGAGAGGCACGCGCGAGAGGGATGGAGAGAGGGGCGTGGAAAATTAGGAAAGCAGCAAAAGCCAGCGCACGTAAGAAGAGTCCGGGGTATGGTGCGGCGTTTTACCAACGGGACTACGGTGGAGATGCAGAGAGACAGAAAAATTGGAGCGATACGGACAGAGCGAATTTGAGGGGGTGCAGGTTCAGAGCAAAACGGTGACTTACATGCTTCGCGTTGGGTGAGCTCCTGATGTGTGGTGTCCAGACACGTGGCCACGCGCGTTCCCCGCACAGGCACCGTGAACCCGACGCAGCGCGCGAGAGGAAGGAAACGGAGGAGGAGAAAAAACAGAAAAAAGGAGAAGGAATTAGTCGGAAACGGGACATGACAACCGAAGCTGACAGCACATACTTATCGTTCCCTTCGCAAATGCAACAAGCAACGGAGTATGCAGGGACGAACTGACAAAGATAAGTGCGTAACCAACTGACCTCCTCTCTTCGCTTGAGCTCCTGTTCTCTCGCAGCAAGCTGCGTCTCCTTCTCCACAATGTCCTGTGGCCATCAGAGGCACATGCCGGTGAGGGCAAGAGACAAGGAAACGATGTCGTAACGAATCCAAGATACGAGAGAACGGGTTGCCAAGTAGGGATAAAGCGGGGAGAGAGAAGCGGGGAGAGGACGAACCTTAGGCGTCAACGCGACGCTGTCAAACGACGCCGCCATAGATGACACGGCCGCTCCAGCCTGCAAGGAACAGATTGAAGTTCGTCACTTATGCATTACAAGACGGCGATCGGACACTCATGGGGGTTGTCTATCACAATGGTCAATCGAAAAATGAGTGATCACAGGTAAGAGGGGCAGTAGGTCACACAAACAACATGCTAAAACTAAGCTGAGCGTCGTAAGACATAAACTTACTTTGTCAAAAAAAGAACCGAGTCCCGACTTCGGAACAGGAGCCTGAATATAGACACAGGAGGGTGGGAGGAGCGGACGAGAGGACAGCAATAAGACGATGATTTCAGCGTGATGCTCCAATGACTGTTCAAGCCTCCAGACATTCGCAGACGATCAACACCGAATCTCGAAGAACGCAACGGAAACGCAAGCTGCTGATAAAACAGGATTGTTCAGCATAGTACAGTGACCATCTTTTATCTCGATCACTCACAGCGTTGCTGCTGCTCTCGCCTCCCTCATCGAATGGGTTGGTGTCGAATTTGCTCATACTGGCGGAGACGGAGGTACCGAAGGGTACAGCAG